TATTTTTCAGCCAAATTAATGAAATAAACTTAATAATATACACATTCATAAATGGCAAATTATGCTGTGGAACCGTGTCCACCTTGCAAGGTGGACACAGTTCCAAAACTGTTCATAACTATGAATATATAGTTCAAAAATGATGAACTTATAGGTGTATGATTATGAACATAGAGTTGTGAACACAATTATGAACATATAGTTCTGTAATATATGAATATAGAGATTCAATAATTGTGAATATGAAGTTCAAAATTTATGAATATATAGCTTTATAATTATGAACATATAGTTCATTAATTATGAATATAGAACTGTGTCCATCTTGAATATATAGCTTTATAATTATCAAGTGACATAAAAACTTGGACAAATTATTCTGTGGACCATGGTCCACACAGTGCTGTACGGACCATAAAAGAAAGTACAATTTTTAATAATCGAAAGGTCGAAAATATATATTATATAATAATCGAAAAAGATAACATTGAATATATGGTCGATGAAAAAAATGATATAAGGCCGGAAAAAGACTAATTGACGGAGAAGAACTGAACCCGGCCTGATCACAGGAAAGGACCCTAGAGTATATGACTTGATTGTTCCGTTCATGATATTCATCAATTTTAATTTCTAAACATTAGTTATTATTAATCATATATATTCACACTAAGCTAGAATTAATATTTATTCTCCCTAGCCCTCTCTATATTATAGTGAATAATATAATATAATATAATTCCTTTTATCGTTCCTTATCTGATTAGGAGTATATATATATATATATATATATTTAACAATAGCCACCGCCTCCCTGCAACAAGTATATACACTTCGTTCCACTTTCCCATTCTCAATCATCATACCAACCCAATCATTGATTTCAGATCAGACCTACAATCCCTGCGCCATTTCTCTATATACATATGGCTTCTCATATATACACTACAGCTTTATCGTGTTTGCTTCTACTGCTGCTCTCCTCCTTCTCGCAATGCCAAGCGCAGCAGCAGCAGCTATCCCTACATTTTACGACAACACATGCCCTAATGCTCTAAACATCATTCGCGATGCCGTAAGGCAAGCCGTGTCCCGTGAGCGTCGCATGGCCGCTTCCTTGATTCGTCTCCATTTCCACGACTGCTTTGTTCAGGGTTGCGACGCTTCCATCTTACTGGGACGAGTCACCAACCATTAAGAGCGAAAAGACGGCGTTGCCAAACCATGCCTCTGCCAGGGGTTACGACGTGATAGAGGCTGGCCAAGCGCGAGCTAGAGAAAGCTTGTCCTGGTATTGTATCTTGTGCTGATGTATTGTCCGGTGGCTGCACGTGATGCCACTGTTGCTGCGGGAGGTCCGTCTTGGACAGTGAAGCTGGGAAGAAGAGATTCAACCACAGCTAGTCGTAACATAGATCTCCCCAGCCCTTTCGCAAATTTGGATACACTTATATCCAGCTTCGCTACCAAAGGCCTTAACACAAAGAGACATGGTTCCCTTGTCTGGTGCACACACTCTCGGCCAAGCTCAATGCTTCCTATTTCGCGATAGAATTTACGGCAACCGTACTGACATTTGATGCCGGTTTTGCTAGCACTAGAAGACCGCAAATGTCCAAAGGACACCGGAAATGGGAATTTGGCACCCCTTGATTTAGTGACCCCAAATTCCTTTGATAACAACTACTATAAGAACTTATTGCAAAAGAAAGGTCTGCTTCAATCGGATCAAGTTCTATTCAGCGGTGGAGCAACTGACAGTATTGTTTCAGAGTACGCCAGGAGCTCTCGGGCATTCCAAGAAGATTTTGCATCAGCCATGATTAAAATGTCTGAAATTCAGGCCGCTCACGGGGTCAAAATGGGATCATTAGAAAAGTCTGCGGTGCTTTGAACTAGCTAGCTTCAATAATTCATAACCATTTCTTCAATTTAGTTTTTCCTCTCCTACAATTTAATTAATTGTATTTCTTTTCTTCATTACTGTACTCATGATCTGTTTTACAAAATTGCATGTAATAATAAATTTCTTGTACTTTTCATTATATACCTACAACTAACGCAACATGCACTGTTTCTTTTATTGAACATTATATTCAAATTCCAACTAATTCAAGGTTACGTTACTTATTCTCAACAAAGTTACATTAAAGCATGCGCTGATCTACTCAAATTACATATAATATTAGGCATAAGATTTCTGTAATGGAATTATTTGTTTATCATTTCCTTCATCCCGCTTCGCAATTCATGCTCGAGAAGATATTGTTAAGTTTGTCTCATATCGGGATTAGGAATATGAGTTTGTCCAATAGGAGTGAAACAGTTTGGGTAGACGCATTGTACAACGATTAGATGCCTAGAAATACATTAATTATATCCCAAAGCTAAGGTATCACCACGATCACCATCGCTATGAACGAATTTTTTTTTTTTTTTTACTCTCGTGGGTGTAAGCACATTGCCGAACCATGTAAATCTTACATTCTTTACCTCTATTTTTACCAATATTATTGTTTCTGGTTCTTGTTGATTTCATCAGATATTGTAGGCAAGACAATATAATTCGTACACAAAATTGTTTCCAAGTTATCATTTGGATTTGTATTTTTCAAAAAAAAAAAAATAATAAGTACTCGGATTTATAAAATCATATTTTGCAATTTGAAAAATAATTGTATTTGAACAAATTCTTTGTTTTTTTTTTCAAAAAACGTCACAAGTTTTTTTTTTTTTTTTTTTTTTATGTGAAATGCCCTATCGGAACGTTATGCTGTGCAGCGGTGTGCACCATGCAAGGTGCGCACGGTTCCAATTCATAATTTCTATACTGTAGATTCATAATTTCTATGCTGTAAATTCATAAAATATATATTGTAGGTTCATAATTTCTAAAACGTAGATTCATAATTTAAACACAAGAAATTCATAACTTCTATATAGAAGATTCACAATTTCTATACTGCAGATTCATATTTTATGCACTGTAGATTCATAATATCTAAACTGTATAGTTAACAAATTATGAACATATAGTTCTGTGAGTTGTGAATACAGAGTTCAACAATTGGGAATATGAGCATCGAAAATTATGAACATATAGCTCTGTAATCATGAACATATATTCATAAATTTATGAACATATAGCTCTATCACATGTTCACAAATCAAATACTGTAGATTCATAATTTCTACACTGTAGATTCATAATTTAAATATGGTAGATTCATAATTTCTAAACTGTGCGATTGCGAAGAGAGAAAAGAATGTTTGAATGCGAATGGAAATCGCCTAACGCCGTTAACGGCAATGAAAAATGGATATTTTTTTTTTTAAATTTGGAACGGCGTCGTTTTGCAACAGTATGCACCATGCACGGTGCACACGGTTGCACGGCATAATTTGCGTATAGTATCCAAAGAGATAACTAGATGAGTTATTGTTATTGTATGGAAAATAACTATTATATTCTTAGGATTATCTTGATAAATTATGCTATTCCTTTTGGACATGCTTGATTGAGGAAACAAAATTTAGATGAATATAAATTCTATTTCGTAAGGAATGCAAACACTTTTGTGGGATCGTCTCACACGTCTCAATCCCGTTAGAGAGAGAGAAAAACGAAGGAAAAGCAAGACACATGTGCGTTTCACGCATATACGGGACGAGTAAATCTAGTTCTATTTTTTCTAGAATTTTTTTAAATCTAACAAAACAATGAATGCATCCAAAACTATCATCACTAGCCGACATACCAAAATCACCAAATTAATTAACTAATTTCCCAATTATAAAAATTTTCTTGAGCATATACAAATCAAAGATCAAAGCTGAATGAGTGAAAGTGAGGAAACAACATCGTAGATGGCCAATTTTTGCAAGGAGCGAAATGCAATCGTGAAGACAGCAAACAAGATATCAACTCTTTGCGCCTCAAATGTTCTTAACGATCATGTGTTTAAACATTTGCGGTCATATGTCTGGACACATTTTGTCACCAAATTAGAGAGAGAAAAATGAAGGAAAAGAAAGACACGTGCGCGTTTCGCGCATCTAAATCTATTTCCTTTTCTTGAATTTTTTAAAATCTAACAAAACAATGAATGCATTCGATACCATCATCACTAGCTGACATACCAAAATTTCCAAAATAATGGACCTAATTTTTTTTTTTTGAAATCAAATAATGGACCTAATTAATTAACTAATTTTCACAATTACAAATTTTTTTTTGATCATACAATCCAATTATTTGGAATGTATGAAGACTTAAATCCATTAGTGGAGTATTTTAACAATTTTTTTCTAAATGATCACTGTCACTGATTAAAATATTTTTCAGCGAAATTAATGAAATAAACTTAATAATATCACATGTTCCAAAACTGTTCACAACTATGAATATATAGTTCAAAAATGATGAACATATAGGTCTGCTTCAATCGGATAAAGTTCTATTCAGCGGCGGAGCAACTGACAGTATTGTTTCAGAGTACGCCAGGAGCTCTCGGGCATTCCAAGAAGATTTTTTCTAAATGATCGCTGCCACTGATTAAAATATTTTTCAGTCAAATTAATGAAATAAACTTAATAATATACACATTCATAAATGGCAAATTATGCTGTGGAACCGTGTCCACCTTGCAAGGTGGACACAGTTCCAAAACTGTTCATAACTATGAATATATAGTTCAAAAATGATGAACTTATAGGTGTATGATTATGAACATAGAGTTGTGAACACAATTATGAACATATAGTTCTGTAATATATGAATATAGAGATTCAATAATTGTGAATATGAAGTTCAAAATTTATGAATATATAGCTTTATAATTATGAACATATAGTTCATTAATTATGAATATAGAACTGTGTCCATCTTGAATATATAGCTTTATAATTATCAAGTGACATAAAACTTGGACAAATTATTCTGTGGACCATGGTCCACACAGTGCTGTACGGACCATAAAAGAAAGTACAATTTTTAATAATCGAAAGGTCGAAATATATGATTATATAATAATCGAAAAAGATAACATTGAATATATGGTCGATGAAAAAATGATATAAAGGCCGGGAAAAGACTAATTGACGGAGAAGAACTGAACCCGGCCTGATCACAGGGAAAGGACCCTAGAGTATATGACTTGATTGTTCCGTTCATGATATTCATCAATTTTAATTTCTAAACATTAGTTATTATTAATCATATATATTCACACTAAGCTAGAATTAATATTTATTCTCCCTAGCCCCTCTCTATATTATAGTGAATAATATAATATAATATAATATTCCTTTTATCGTTCCTTATCTGATTAGGAGTATATATATATATATATATTTAACAATAGCCACCGCCTCCCTGCAACAAGTATATACACTTCGTTCCACTTTCCCATTCTCAATCATCATACCAACCCAATCATTGATTTCAGATCAGACCTACAATCCCTGCGCCATTTCTCTATATACATATGGCTTCTCATATATACACTACAGCTTTATCGTGTTTGCTTCTACTGCTGCTCTCCTCCTTCTCGCAATGCCAAGCGCAGCAGCAGCAGCTATCCCCTACATTTTACGACAACACATGCCCTAATGCTCTAAACATCATTCGCGATGCCGTAAGGCAAGCCGTGTCCCGTGAGCGTCGCATGGCCGCTTCCTTGATTCGTCTCCATTTCCACGACTGCTTTGTTCAGGGTTGCGACGCTTCCATCTTACTGGACGAGTCACCAACCATTAAGAGCGAAAAGACGGCGTTGCCAAACCATGCCTCTGCCAGGGGTTACGACGTGATAGAGGCTGCCAAGCGCGAGCTAGAGAAAGCTTGTCCTGGTATTGTATCTTGTGCTGATGTATTGTCGGTGGCTGCACGTGATGCCACTGTTGCTGCGGGAGGTCCGTCTTGGACAGTGAAGCTGGGAAGAAGAGATTCAACCACAGCTAGTCGTAACATAGATCTCCCCAGCCCTTTCGCAAATTTGGATACACTTATATCCAGCTTCGCTACCAAAGGCCTTAACACAAGAGACATGGTTGCCTTGTCTGGTGCACACACTCTCGGCCAAGCTCAATGCTTCCTATTTCGCGATAGAATTTACGGCAACCGTACTGACATTGATGCCGGTTTTGCTAGCACTAGAAGACGCAAATGTCCAAAGGACACCGGAAATGGGAATTTGGCACCCCTTGATTTAGTGACCCCAAATTCCTTTGATAACAACTACTATAAGAACTTATTGCAAAAGAAAGGTCTGCTTCAATCGGATCAAGTTCTATTCAGCGGTGGAGCAACTGACAGTATTGTTTCAGAGTACGCCAGGAGCTCTCGGGCATTCCAAGAAGATTTTGCATCAGCCATGATTAAAATGTCTGAAATTCAGCCGCTCACGGGTCAAAATGGGATCATTAGAAAAGTCTGCGGTGCTTTGAACTAGCTAGCTTCAATAATTCATAACCATTTCTTCAATTTAGTTTTTCCTCTCCTACAATTTAATTAATTGTATTTCTTTTCTTCATTACTGTACTCATGATCTGTTTTACAAAATTGCATGTAATAATAAATTTCTTGTACTTTTCATTATATACCTACAACTAACGCAACATGCACTGTTTCTTTTATTGAACATTATATTCAAATTCCAACTAATTCAAGGTTACGTTACTTATTCTCAACAAAGTTACATTAAAAGCATGCGCTGATCTACTCAAATTACATATAATATTAGGCATAAGATTTCTGTAATGGAATTATTTGTTTATCATTTCCTTCATCCCGCTTCGCAATTCATGCTCGAGAAGATATTGTTAAGTTTGTCTCATATCGGGATTAGGAATATGAGTTTGTCCAATAGGAGTGAAACAGTTTGGGTAGACGCA